TACTTCACTTTCCAGTTTACTTCTGCAGTGTCACTGTTCAAGGTGTAGCTTTCCGTCATACGAAGAACATTTCCTATGGAAATTCTGCAGTTAGTCTGGAAAATGGTACTGTGTAGTTGAATGCTGTGTCTGGCTGACTCAGGGCTGTTCCTCTGGAAAAGGAAACAGAAGTTTAGATGCTTAAAATAGGTAACTTCCTGTAGTGAGTGTGTTAAGTGGCCTCCAAATACCTGGCTTAAACTTGTATCATTTTTAGCAGCTACAATTTCTGATTTCATAGATTTAGCAAGACTTTAATGCATTTCCCTGTGGGCTTCTGCAGGAATTCCTACTGAGCGGCTGTCACTGTTATTATGGTTAACTCACTGCTGGCTTCTTTCATCCTTTGGCAGTTTCCCTGTGGGAGGTGAAGACGCTTTCTTGATTGCGAAGAGAATAGTATCAGACACTTGGGTCCAGTCAGCTGATCTTTATTACGAATTGCATTTCCCTTACTAGATCTAGCTTACAGCAAATACATAGATAATGCTTTCTTTCTTTTTTTCTCTTTTTTTTTTAATTACTCAGGTCCCCCTCAGCCACCTCCAGACATACGAGTGAACAAAAAAGAGGTGCTGATTACCAAATCCTCCATCAACTTTACTTTTAACTGCAGCTGGTTTAGTGATACTAATGGAGCTGTGAAGTACTTTACTGTGGTTGTACGAGAGGCTGATGGTAAGTGTCATCATTTAATACCATTCTCTCTATAGCCTATAGGAGTAACATGGGGAAGTACACCCCCATCACTACACAGCAAAGGAGCTTCTCCTCATCTAGTGGCTGAGTCTCACAGAGGTTTTGGATCTCTACCTGCTCCCTAGCCTGGGGACTTAGGAACTCAGTCTTGTCCTCAAAAGTTCAGTAGTAACTGCCAAGCTCAGCCAGAAGTAGTAGTTAGCTTCTGTGCACTAGGTTATGCCCTCATGTATGTTCAGGAATTTCCACAGTAAGAGACTTACGTCGGATGCCATTGGCAGTGAACACAGAAGAAACTGCCTTGCTGTGCACGGATCTCAAAGTAGTTTAATTGTTAGGTGGGAACAGTAAGTCAACTCTTTGGGAGAACCTCAGTAAGCCATGCTGAGAAGTAACATCTCCCAGGTGGTGTTTGCTTACTGAAGAAAATAACTTTGCATTCAGCACTGTAAAACAGAACAGAAATTGCCCTTGTAGCGTGCATGTAAACCTCCATTTCTGCAGTTGACCTATATGTGACAAAACAGATGAATGTCTCAACAATTAATAACTTGTTTTTAGAAGTGGCTTCATTTCCTGGCATGCCAGGACATATTTTGTGACCCCTGAGAAAGTTTCTTAATCTCTCTGTCCATCAGCTCTTAGGAAAAAAAGCAGAAATAATATTTCCACTATCTACTCTGTCATGTTTGTGCAGACTATAAAGCTCTTTGAGAAAGGGACTACTCATTGCCGTGGCTTTGCCTACCTGAGTCTTTTACACATTATTGTGAGTTTCCATTCAGCGGGCTCCTGTCATTTCCTATTGCAGCTTTTGTGTCTATACAGGAGACTTGTCAGCACGTGGATTTTTTTTACCTGCTTTTTGAAATAGCTGGTGGTAGGATCCAGGATTCTGGATCACAGAGATTCCCACCAACAGCACAGGAAAAAATGTCATAGCATTGAATTCAACCCGTGCATGCCTATTGCAGCATTGTATCTGGAAAAGTTACGCTGAGGTCTTGTGAGGAAATCTGTCTGAAGTTCCCCAGAAAAATAATAGCAAGATTGGTACTAGAAACAAGCTACCCTCACCATTGTAGCTTTGTATTAACAAGGTAGGCTGCGCAGCCTCCAAGAAATGCTAGAAAGTTGGATAAGAACATGTCTGTCAACAGCTTGAGGCTATAAACTGCATCACAGTAATGGCTGTGGTATGTAAACTTTCTGTCTTTCTCTGCACATGATGTAGGTAGTGAAGGACCAAAGCCTGATGAGCAGCACCCATTACCTTCCTACCTGGAATACAAACACAACGACTCTATACGTATCTACCAGACAAATTATTTTGCCAGTAGATGTGCTGAAAACCCTGACAGCGACTATAAAAGTTTTGACATTAAGCTTGGAGGAGAAATGGAAAATCTGGGAGGAAGGTGTGATCCAGATCAGCAAAAATTCTGCGATGGACCTCTAAAGCCTCGAACTGCTTATAGGTTAGATTTATATTGGTATATATGGGTGCTCTGTCACATTATTAGGCATGGTGCTGTCTGAAGGCCTGATACACTTAAGCTTCTGTAGATTAATAACTGGGTTGTACAATGTTCTTTGTGTTTCACTGTGAGTTTATAGAAGCTTTATCCACACCCCCATTCCATAGGTATGAACCAGCCCTTCACTAGCATGGGAATGATACAATGAATTATACACAAAACTCAGTGCAGTGAATAGGCTTATTTATTTCTCTCAACGTGATGAGGAGCTCTCCTATAGCTGCTAAATCTTTCTTTGGAAAGACTTAAGACCATTAGCTAGTAAGTCAGAAGACTCCTTAACAGAAGGCAAGGATGTTTCACTCGGTCTGTTTGGCACCGCTACCCTACACCAGTTCTTTGGAACAAGCTAGAAAAACCTGGAGGTTATTCTAACCTGTGGCACCATCCCCCAGGCTCCAGAGCTAGGCCTCGGTTAGCTGTAGAGTGGGAAGAGGGCAACTGCCAAGACCAGGCTCAGCAGTTACGCAGGCTGTGAGACCAAACCTGAGCTCCAGTGCAGCTCAGTCGCGCCCCACCCACAGGCAAACACTCTCCCAAGAGGTCTACAAGCTGCCCACTGGACAGCCACATGGACAGAAGGCACATGCCAGGCAGTGCACATCATGCCTCTCAGCTTCTTTGTCATCTCAAGACAGTGCTACCCTACCACAGTCCACTCTCATTAGGACACGTTTCCCAAAAACTCAGTCTGGGAAATACCCGTGTTACCAGGAGAACCAAGAGAATTGAACATTTCTCCATTAGCACAGCCCCGTCCGACCATGTGGAGGGAAAGTATCTCTCCACTGAGAAGCATTTCTGAGTCCTCTTCCCACTGCAGCTTCTGCTAGTCCTGCGTTCAGGCATGGTCAGGCTGTGTGTGCCAGCAGCCAGAGCCCCGTCCATTATCAGGGTACCTCAGAGCCCTCCACCTGTGCTAGCTGGCTCTCCCAGCTGGAGTAATTAACTTGGGCACCTGCATTAAGAACTGTCTGTAGACAATGGAAAGGCTTTAGTTATCTCTAAGGGGCAAATGAGTTCTTACTTTCCTGCTGTTGATTCTGAATATCTGATAAGCTCTAACTATAACGGTACTACGTTTTAGGATCAGCATACGGGCTTTTACCCAACTCTTCAGTGAAGACCCAAAGGAACTTCCTAAACCACTCTTTGCAGACACCTTCTTCTCTTTACCGATCACTACAGAGGCAGGTTAGTTTCAGACTTGCTTTTCAATGACTGTAGCATGTGATTATATATTGTGCCTCAGAACGCTGTGGTATCTAGAACTGTTTGCAAGGAGTGGAACAAAACCAGATTCCTGTGCATGTCCTGAAGGCTGCTCTGAAAGGAGGCTGGAGCCACGGCTTATCCAGCATTAGTTTGAAAACTCAGAGGACTGCTTGATGGAGCTGCTGACAGTAGAGCAAAGGGTGAACACTCAGTGGAGCCATCACCAAAAAAACCTTGAAAGTCCAAGAGAACCAAAATCCCATATAATGGGGCTGTGCTTTCTTTTGCTGTAGTTGAGAGTGAAAGATTTTGTGTCATGTTTGGAAAAAATAAGGACAGAAAATCAAGGCCAGGTTTTAGCTAAGTGTTTAAATGCCTTACATTTCCTTGTATTTAACCGTTTTCTTCAGCTGATAATAACATATCCCCTGAAAGTTATTGATTCTTGAATTCTTCATATCTTTTCCTCAAGATACATAAATACACTGTTTTGTTTCTAGAGCCTCTGTTTGGAGTTATTGAAGGTGTGAGTGCTGGCTTGTTTCTGATTGTGATGTTAGTGGCTGTTACTGCTTTATTTGTCTGCAGACAAAAAGTTAGGTAAGTTGAGTCCCTTTATAAGTCTCTGTTAGTGAAGTCAAGTCAAATTATATTCGTTTAAGCAATACAGTATTTAAAGCGTAACTGTAAAATTGGAGGAATGCACTGAACTATTCAACAGATAAAATATATGTCCCCCAACATCTGTACACACTAAATATAGAACTAATGACTTACATATTAAGAGATCGATATACTCTTGATTCAAATACCTACTGATGTTAGTCAGAATTATCTCATAGAGGATACTTGTAACTTTTAGTTTTCATTAGGAGTTTGAGTATTTCTGAAAAACAGGTTTATCATTCAAACTGAATATCTTCTGTCAAAAATGAAATGTTTGAAATTAATTTCATCTGCATTTTAGGTGGGAACTAAACTGTTCATTTAGACTTTATCATTTCAGTTCAAGAATCTTAAGGTGTGACGTTACCTTAGTGTCCAAAAGATCAGTTTAAACTTCACTTCTCATTTTTTTTGTTGATTATAGCTGTATATTTCACATTCTAAATGAATCTTAAATAGTGAATTTTAAGTATGTTTTTAAAAAGTTCAATAATCTGCTCAACTTTGAAAAAAGCTTTATCAATTTAAACCATTTAGCATGACTGAAAGAGATATGACATTATTGATCTGAAATTCCTTGTGGTTTCTGAAATAAAAAAAAATTTCAATATTTCCATTACATGGGAGACTCTGAAAATCTGAAATTCAGTTCTTTTACTGATACAAGATTAGGTCTATTTTGTTTTGAATTTTCTTTTCAGATACCAGAATTTCACATTGAAAAAAACCTGTTTTCTGACTAGTTGTAGCTTTTAACCAGAATGGATTTACCCTTTAGCAATGCTATTCTTAGGCTCTAGGAACAAATTCAGTGTATTCCTCTATTTGCAATCCAAAAAAAAAAGAGTCATAAATCATTAGCAATAGTAAATAAAGTCTGCTTTTGCATGTATAGACTTGTGCACTCCTAATCGTCTCAGTACATAGTGATATATAGTATAGAGCATGAATGGAGTGCAGATTGATGTGTTGTCCACCTTGCACATCTCATTGCATTTTTTTAGTATAGATAAACTGCAGATAGAATGTGGTTTCTTGTGAGTTATGTAGCCAGCACGACTGCCAAGTACTGGTATGGTTTTCCCTTATCATACGTAAAGAGAAAGTGTTCTCTAAGGGAGCTGTGTTGAAGGAGGAGATGGCAGTGAAAGAACAAAAGGCAACACTAACTGTGTGGAGTCAATATCACTTCTGTGGCTTTCCCAAAGCCCACTGTGGTGCTGCCACTTACTCCTGGGCATGTCCTAGAAGCCTGAAAATCTACCTACGTATTCCTCTCTACATATAGAGATTCAACCAATTTAGGGCCCATCTTAACACAGGACACCCTCCTTAATGACAGGCTGGGCTGTGCGTGTTTCAGAGCAAGAAAAAAGTCTTCTTCCTGTGCACATGCATACACTCCATGTCACTATCACCAAACTAAAATAAAATAAAACTCTGTGCCACAGCTAAGAGCAATATCACATGATCAGAGCCACAAATCAAAACAGACTTTCTCAAATTCCTTTTTTCCAACTTAATAAAGTAAGTTATATTATTGGTAGCTTTTATCAGTATCGGAACATAATGGTAAAACAGCATACCTTCCTTTTTATTCTAGCAATGGCCACGAAAGACCTACAGCAAGGCTGAGCATTCGCAGGGACAGGCCACTGTCAGTCCATCTGAACTTGGGGCAAAAAGGGTAAAATCAAAAGTTTTATTCCTAAGAGTACTATTTTAACATGGCATCATGGATGAACAGTCACGTCTGGTCACTAACTGATAATGTGTTTCTTTTTCTTTTTGAAATAATTTCTAGGAACCGGAAAACTTCCAGGTAAAAAGAAAAAAATTAATACCTAAAAAAGCTTCTTGATAACCAACTGGATAAATTATGATTGTGATTCATCCTGTGATTTTCTTCCTCCTGTTGAATATTTTAGTCCGATCAAAGTCAGTCATTTTGAAGCACACTTCACCAAACTTCAAGCAGACTCCAACTACCTCCTGTCCAAGGAATATGAGGTAGGATCCTAATCTAGGCAAAGGACTTGTGTTATGAAGGGGCAAGCTGGCTGAATCAATGGGTTAATGCATTAGAAAGGCCTGCATTTGTTTGTCTTATTCACACACATCCAAACAAGTTTGAGAGTCTCACCTGAACTCCACTCGTCCTAATGCAGAAGCCAGCTCTTCATTTGGCATTGCATCTTCTTGGTAGCCCCTGCCTGATGCCTGTCTGGCTGAGGTCAGGAGCATTCATTTGTGTTGCACATCTGTGTGATAAAGCATGGAAAGCACCTGCCAGCTATGTGCTTGCTTTAAACTAGTATGATTAGCTATTTAATTTCAGTTTGTTCTTTTAAAAAAACACCCATTCTCTGTCCATGGCCTTTGAGAGCTGATAAGCATTGTGTCCCCCTGTGTTGTCACATTATTTAATTATTTTCACATCACATTTTATTCCTACTTTTTTTTTGCAGGACTTAAAAGATGTGGGTCGAAACCAGACATGTGACATAGCACTTCTGCCAGAGAACAGAGGGAAAAATCGATACAATAATATATTGCCCTGTGAGTTTTAGGTTTGGTTGTGTAATATTACATCACAACAGCTATTTTTCATTCTTTTCAGCAAGCCTAGTGAAAAAGAGAGTGCAGCCAATCCCTTCCCTCCTTCCTGTCAGAGATGAAATACCTCTGCCAGCTCAGGTTCTGGTGCTTGGAGGCAGATGATGTATGGCCCTGAATGGTTTCACACAGACCAGTAATTTCATTTCACACTAGAGATGTAATGACTAGCATTCAGTCTGGAGAGAAAAAGCTCCAGCTATTATGGGTGTTCAGTCACTGCTGATAACAAGGATAGTAGAAATAACAGTAGGGTTGTTTACATATAGGGTGTCATCCATTCAGTGCTTTTTGACAACCTTACCAAATCTTTCTTCTTCAGAGGACACAGCAAACCAACTATACAATGTAGAGCTAGTGTGTTTCTGTGTGGTAAGACACACATGTTGAGGTTAGCTCTGTTCTCCTGAGGCAAGACCTGTCATTGAGAATTTCCCCCTTTAATCTCCTATCTGCTAGTTTTGGAGGTAACACATGCTGTGCATCGAGGAGGAACACCACATGGCTCACTGCTCCACATGCTGCCCCGCTGCTGGATGGGGTCTGTGCTTGGAGCACAGCCTCACAGCATCTCCTGTGTTCTGCCTGCCATGCCAGGCTGGGGAGCACGCCCACAACGTACAAGCAATGACACCTGACCGAGATCCAACATGACATTATCTCACAAATCAGTGACCCGATGGCTTGGGCTCTCTGTACCTCTCTCTAGTACTGGAGATGCCACTGGTCCCGGGGAAGATGGTTGGCCTGCTTGCCCATGTTAGCTCAGGAGCTGTGCAGGCCACTGAAGCACTACTGCGTTTTCAATGGCAGCGCTGGACACTGCTCTCTAGTACAGCACTCTGCTGTCAGGATCAAAGGAGGATGCTGTTGTGGCTCTTTTGTTGCCATAACAAATCCTATGCCACTCAGCAGAGGAATTTTTGGATATTCACTGCTTCCTTCTCACTGATCCATCTCCTAGTCTTTGGAACACTCCACAGCACTTGTGCATGAAAGAGGCAGTACAAATATAAACAGTTATTCCTCTAAATTAACCCTGCATATAAAATCCTTGTAATAATGCTGCCAGTCCTTTCACAAATGCATTTCTGTAAATGGGAGAGGGACTGAAAATCAAGACCTAGCCATAAGCCTCTTGTAATCAATTTCTTCCTAGACGATACATCAAGAGTGAAGCTTTCCAATGTGGACGATGACCCTTGCTCAGACTACATTAATGCAAGCTACATACCGGTAAGTGACTCAAGGATGGTATTTTACAGTCCTCCCTCCAGTGATAATTTGTCCTTCATCTAAAACTGAATATAAAGCTGGATGCTTAAGGTTCCCCTCCCCCTTCATTTATTCATTTGAGCTAAAAGTCTGAGAACTCATTTTGTGGGTGTGCTGAAAGGCTGTGTCTGACTTCCATTAAGTTAACTGTGAGTGATTTAGCCAGCACTTAAGAACACTTTTGGATTGCTATAGTTATATAAGATAGCAAGTCTAATTGTCCAAGGACACATTTTTAAAGGTCACTGATTTTATACAGTGTCCACAACAACTGTAGCTGTCACTGCAGGTGGCATCCTCATTGTGGAGCTGTAGCTCATCCTGACAGTGTTGGCATCTTGCAGGATGGTGAAACTGGCCGAGATCAAAATAATGCCCTTTGCCAGAGAGTTGTGATTGATAATAGCAGTGGCTTTAGCAATCCAGATTTCAAGCCAGAACTCAGCTAACTTATTAAAAACAGTAAATAAAACAAAAACCCCTAGTAGTTCCAAAATTGCTTGAGACTGTGCTGAACACAATAAAACAATGAAAAGCTTTGACTGCCACAAAAGGAACAGTATTTAGATACACTGCTGCAGTCTTTTCCTTCTCTCAGCTCCAGCCAACCTTCTGCTTCCAGGTCCAAGGCAACAATTTAGCTCTCAAAACTATTGTCCCAGCAAGGGCATTGTTGCTGCAGAGCCCTGGCTGCAACCCCATGGCTTGCACAGTTGCTAGAAGATCTTTTTTTCTGCCTTTATGGAAACTAATGGAGTTCTTTTTACTTGCAGGGCAATAATTTCCGCAGGGAATACATAGCGACTCAGGGCCCTTTGCCTGGTACCAAAGATGAGTTCTGGAAGATGGCATGGGAACAAAATGTTCATAATATTGTTATGGTAACCCAGTGTGTTGAGAAGGGCCGGGTGAGCAGTTACTTTTCTTTATTGTTAATGACTGTTTTAACATCTACCAAAAGTTTATGCTTATTATTTGGATCACACTAAGGCTGAAGGCCCCAGTCAAGGAGATAGACAATAAGAGATAAGAGGCATAATCTAAACACTGGAGACAGATTAAGGTTGTAAAGTGAGGATGCAGTGACCATCCCAAGATCATGCAGTATGTCAAGGCTAAAGTTAGGAACAGAGCTCAGTGTTTCTGGTCTCTAATCCAGCACTTTGCTCACTAGTACTAATATTATCCTCCTAAGCATGCAGAAGGACAACCATCAGCAAAAAATACCTGTTTATCACATCAACTCCAATAACTACTACTTTAAATATAAGCTCTAGAGAACAATTGTTGATCATTAAATACATGGAATTCTCTCTAATGCATAAGCCCTGATGTAGCAAGCAAAGAGACCACTCACGCACTTAACAGTCTTACTGAGTGCAAGCGTAGGTAGGTTATTTAGCTGTCTCAGCAATCTGCCTCCCCAAGTATGACCACATCCTGCACCCTTTGTAAGGCAGGGACTAGATCTGTAAAAAGCAGCTTGAAGTAGTGATCATCAAGTGGCACATATGGGGATATTTCCTTTCAGTTTACCTTTTTTTCTTGAGGAGATAGCAAAAGCAGATGCAGGACAGGCAGCCACCTGTCTCCTTCTGCACCTCACTGTCTCTGAGTGGGACTCCACTGTTGTATCTCAGCAAGAGGTGGGGAAGTAGGCAGCAGAGGCCTAGCTGTCATCCAAGCAGAGCTCTGAGAAAAGTTGGTGCAGAAAATGTTGTGGCATCCAGAAGAGGGCATCAGTGAAGTGATTCCCATTCCCCCCATCACAAACATCTATGATAAGAACTTCCACTTCCCAGCCCCATCCTAGCCCGTTCCCATCCCCGGCCCCGTTTGTTGAGCTGACATGGCAGGGGGTGGCAGCTCTCTCTGAATTCAGCCGCTGCCGTTATTCCTTCATCCGCAGGCATAGGAGGTGTGAAGTCTGCTGCCACCAATGCTGGGTGGAGGCATTGTTTACAGCTGTTATTGACACTAAATTTAACTTTTTCTGTGTCCCTGCAGGTGAAGTGTGATCACTACTGGCCTCTTGACCAGGATTCCTTGTACTATGGAGACCTGATTGTTGAGATGCTGTCTGAGTCGGTGCTCCCAGAATGGACAATACGAGAGTTTAAAATCTGCAGTGTATGTTTGTGTTCATCTTTTTTTTTCTTTTTAATTAATTGACTTAAAAACAACTGCAAGGCTATATTAGAAAGTTTTCTTCTACTGTAGCACACTTGTATTATGCCCCGCTCATCTCTGATGGCAGCTGTAGCATTTGCTCTGAAGGTGCATGTTGTGTGTGTCCCCTCCTCTCTCGTCTGGTGTGATGACCCACACTTTTGTATCCCGACAGGAAGAGCAGCTTGACTCAACGAGGCTCATTCGTCACTTCCACTACACTGTCTGGCCAGATCATGGTGTGCCAGAGACCACCCAGTCCCTGATCCAGTTTGTCAGAACTGTAAGGGATTATATCAACAGGACCCCAGACACAGGACCAACTATCGTGCACTGCAGGTATGTACAGCAGGAAAAGGTCAGCAGCACAGAGCCTTTGTGTGTACCCTTGGGAAGATCCCAAATGTTCATCCCTGTTAGGCCATGGACAGTCACAGAACCTGAGAGATAGCTGATAGATAAGCTTCCATATACATCAGAGCAGCATTCTCACAACCTCACCCTGGAAATGACCCAAAAATGATTCTTAGGGAACCACCGTGTCTCTGTGGGACCACTGGACAGCACTAAAGGTATCAGCAGGTCCCACTGTTCACGTCCTTTTGCATTCTTGAATTGCCTGTGTGCTGCTGTTGTGGCCCAACATCTCAATCGGCAAAGGGTGTTCTGAAAAGGTAAGATACACCTAGGGGTGAATCTGGCTATGTGTGGATGTTGAGACTAGCTGGCAGATCCATCCTTTCCCCAATTCTGACTGACACTCCCTCTGCTTACTGCCTTCTCATGCTCTTCTGCTGTTGTACCACCTATGGCAGCCATAGGGCTGCAGTTTTTCCTCTGCTTCATGATCCACCCCTACGCATGTAAAAAGGCAAAACTGGACTGCCTGGTCTGTGATCCACTGGCCAGCTGCAGCAGAATATAGGGTTGCAGAGTGAGAGAGAGGGTGCAGTGTGGTGCTGTGTGTATCTTCTGGTAAAGCCATATGCTCACTGGTACTACCTCAATGTAGTATCTGACCTTTCCACCCATTATATGGGCTGAGGCATGTGTCTGTCTGTACATCATGTGCTGCAACATGTCAGATGTCTGCTGTACTGCAGGCAGGTCAGCTTCCCTTTTTCCCTGCCTCCTGTCTCCAAACCCCACCACCCAGCATCTCAGCTACTGGGGTCTCTGGGATACTTTGCCTTACATTACCCTTCCCTAAGGCACAAGCCAACTTACCTTTTAGAATCAAGCCTACTGGTTCATCCCTGGAGAGAAGAGGTTTAAAAGTTACAGTCAGGTGCAGTCTCTCAGTGTATCTCAATGACTGAGTTAATCCAAAGCAGAATGCAGTACGGGCAGTAGCAGAGATACTTCGACCATCGCTATCCTTTCTTCCTTCCTAAACAAATTCCACTATCAAGTGTTTAAAGTCCCAGAGATGCCATTTGAACAATGAGCTTCTCACCCTGGAGACATGAACTTTACAAAAGTGTCACGTGAAGATAGTGAATGCTTTGATCCATCTCCTTTTAAATCTTTTGGGTTGTTTCCTTTTCCAGTGCTGGTGTTGGCAGGACTGGCACATTCATTGCACTGGACCGAATTCTGCAGCAGCTGGATTCAAAGGACACTGTCGACATTTATGCAGCAGTACATGATCTAAGACTTCACCGGGTTCACATGGTTCAGACAGAGGTAAGTTTTGGATAGCCTACAATACAGCCACACCAGCTGTCATCAGTCTCTCGTCTTAAAGGCTCTCAAAGCACTTCACACTTACTTAGTTACTGTGAAATACTAGTTAGATATATTTCAGCTCTGTGCGGATTTCTAGTTCAGGATTGTTTCTATTGGCTCTGATACAACGAGTCCAAACCAGAACAAGTGGTAGCTATGCTTCGTATAGATTTCCCCTATAGGCGCTGGCCCTCAATCACCCCAGCAGCGTTATGCAGCAAACGTTTAACAGCACATTGTTGTGTTAGTGCGGTGTCCAGTAAATGAGCTTTGAGCAGAGAACAGTCCTTCAGGCGTGGGTTTGGCAGACAAGCCTAAACTAGACAGATAGGTCGACATAATAGGGAAAAGGAATGGAGGGCAGAGAAAATTAGATGTACATAATTTTAAAACTCTAAGCACTGTGACCTTGTGGCTTTGCAGTTCATTTTTTATTGAGCTGCTCTGTCCATTTTCATTAATGGTATTGGAAAGTTAATCAGCATTCTCCTAACATACTATGCAAAAGCAAGTACATTTATTCTCGAAGTGCAGAAAAACTACATGTTTGGGATTTCTTTCTGCGCTTTTAAAACTGCAAGAAAATCACTTTACACTAATAGCAGCTAAACACTTAGGAGCTGATTTAATAAAGGCGAGTTGTGAAGTCAGTCTTTACATTTTCTCTGTGAACTGTTAATAGAGGAATCAGAACAAGTTTGATGGGTCTGCCTGTAGCTTGATACTAATGGAGCTCTTTGTTGCAATTTGGAAATGAAAATACCAGTGAGAGCACTTCCTGATAGATGTAAAATTCACACATGAGTATAAAGAGAGGCTCAACTGGGAATGCAAAAGAGAGATTTCCTGGAACTATCTTAATCACAGAAGACCTCCTGTTGGAGGGGAGACTGATTCTCAGGCTGGTCTGGGTGTCCTCAGAGGCAGATCCATCTCACCTTCTACATTCCCATCAGCCATAGTCAGCAAAGGCAGACAGGCATCTCAGGAGGGTGGCTCTTTTTCCGTAGCTGGAAAAATGAGGTAACGAGGTGACGAGGAAAAAAGAGCCTAAATTTGACACCAGGCTTATAGACAGCTAAAGGTGGTGTTATGAAACCCACCTTTGGCATGAGCTTGACGTAACATCTAAGTCAAAAGGCAGCCAGACTTAAGCAAAATATCTACAGCAATAGTGAGGAGCATCCCACCTTCCCACTACCAGCACTACATGCACTTCTGCTGCAAACCAGCAGTGGCTCAAGTCTTACCCAGATCCTGGTTGTAACCAGGCCTGCCCTGGAAGAATTCACAAGCAGCATCCCAAAGACAGGTTGACAGGAAGCTTTTGCAGCTGACGACTACTCACCCCACTTGAGCTGCACCACGCTTGTAGACTGACCATGTAGCTGTGTCAGTGCACAGCCACTGAGCTGCTGTATTCTCAGCGAGTCTTACTAATCTGAGCTGTCACTTGCATCTGTATATGATTCCTGATTTGAAACTGTCTTTCATCAAGGTAGCGTGGAGCACAAGCAATATAATCTTTCATCCTTCTGCAAGAAAATTAAGTAAATTTATCCTGGAGTTCTATGATGATTCAAAGTTTGCAATGAACAGTGAATTAAGTAAATCTTATTATCTTTTAAGAAAAAATAAAGGAGGTGCAGAGAGGTGGAAGAAAAGATCTGCTCCACAAACTCCATTTGATGTGTGTGAAGACTCTAGTTCCTTGTGTTATCATTCACGTCTTGGCTTTCACAATCTGTTTAGGGGTTGACATAAAAGCTAGGTCCCCATCTGTTGGTGTGGTGGAAGCCAAATCCCACTGGGGAGCACAGGCCAGCAGATAGCACTGTTTGCAATGAGATGCTCCAGCCAAAGGTCACAGCACCATCCTGCTCGACATTATGCAGTCACTGTAAAACAGCAGCAACAAAACACTGCCCCTGCTTCAGACTTGGCTGAAAGCTGTTTAAAACAAGAGACTGCAGCTGGAAACATGCAGGGGAGAGACAGAAAATTGTGTCCATCAGCTCACAAGGCCCAGCACAGCAGCTGTAACACCGGCAGAGAAGCTGTTCACCATTTCAGTCCCAAATGGTCTCTGCCAAAGGAAGTCTCTGTGCCCTGGCCAACTTTCCACCTAATTGGTGGGTGGGGTGCAGGATTCTGCTCCGCAGAGACAGCAGCCAGCATCTTCGCTTTACCAGAGCCAGAGCACAGAGAAAAAATCACAGAGCAATAGTTGAATTTCTTGTGAAAAATAAATAAAGACCATGTAGGGGGAGGAAATGCATATGCTTATTGGAGAAGTTATGTCTTTGAGATAAAGTAATATTAAAAAGGTACACGTTGATATATAAAGATGCTCAGCCTAATTTTGGGGTACCATGATACACTAATCAAAAAATGATAATAACCCATTTCATAAACCACAAAGACTAAAAAAGCATGGGCATTTAACTATCTCTTCTGTCAAGGTAGTTTGGTAAATAATAACTTGCTGACCCTCTCTGCTTTGGTTGTGAATGTCATCTTAGCTCCCTTCTATGAAAGACACTCTTCAGAAAAGACAGTCTGTCATTTGCCACATAGTCAGAAGAAATCTTATAAGATATATTGGATCAAAAAATACTGCTTTTGCCAGAAAATTTGGGTTCATCAAAGGGCTATGGAATATTTATATATTGTGATAAAATTCTGTGGAAAATATTTCTTTGCAGAAAAAAAAAAAAGTCTTCTGTGTGCTGCCCTGTACATATTAGTTCTGTTACACAGCCTTTATTGCAAAGCATTCAGAAGTAGTAGCTATCCAACACAGCATCATGTCAAATTACACCTTACAGTTGATAGAGCTTTCACTCATGGCATGATCCGTCAAAACACATTATGTTGACTTATGTTTTACTGGTAGCATTTCTATAAACAGGTGATCACAAAAGTTTACTATGTTACTAGCATGAAAAGCTGATTAATTCTAGAAGTATATTTTCATTTTTAACACCAGTCCTGATTTTGTGTGAGGGAGTTAACCTGTAATGATTTGTCACCATACAGAAAATTAAATTACAAATTTTCCCGGAGTGACTTAAAAAAAAATTCTTTTGCAGTGTCAATATGTGTATCTGCATCAATGTGTGAGAGATGTGCTAAGAGCCAGGAAACTTCGCAGTGAACAAGAAAATCCCTTGTTTCCAATATATGAAAATGTGAATCCAGAATATCACAGAGGTAAGTGCAAGTTTATCAACTTGTAAAATGTTTCAAATGTAATAGCTCATTGACAATGTAGTTGAGGGAGGATAGTTGTGCTATCCCTTTCTTCTCTTCCTGGACTTTCATTTCTTCACTTCTGTGCTCTTGTCACTCTGCAATTGCATCTTTATTTCCTTCATTAGTACTCATTATAGTATCTCTTCCTGCTCCTACCTTAGCTTCGTGCTCTCCCTGTCTCACACTTCATGACTCCTGTGCTGTTGGGGGAACTGAACCCCTTCCCTATCATGATACTGGCTTCCTCCTTTACCTCACCAGTGTTTACACCATGCACTTTCAAGTACATTGAGGCCACTGGCTGGGCTCACTGGGCTCTTCTGTCGTTCATGGAGTTCAATTTCTGTCCTGAATTGCCCGCATTTGCTGTTGACCATGTAGGCAGCCTCAGGAGACTTCCCATCTGCCTTGGCTGGATAATGTACATGTCCGAGGACGTGCTCTTTCTTCCCCAACTCTCCATCCTTGTAGGCTTTTTTTCCTAGTCTGTATACAGTCCCTTGACGATGAGAATTGCAGGAGTAGCAAACTTGGCACTAGCACTGCCCTTCACCTCATGTTCTCATGGCTGGAGGACGCTGGAGGACCAGTCTGGAGAAGCTGTAAGCAGAGGTGGCCTGTGTAGAGACTTGGTAGAGCTGATCCTAAGGGCTGTAGAAGTTTTCGGAGCCTGACAGCAGGATCTCAGTAGCAAATCAAATTTGGACTTTAGGAATTGAGGCTATGTGATGAGAGATCAAAATAATTTTCTTGACCTAGCCCATAGAAATCAGAGTTGTCATCAACAGGTAGAGCAGGCTTTGAGGAGACCAAGGACTGAAATAACCAGGGTTCCACATGTTGGGAGTGCTAGGAAAAGCAGAGGTAGGATCTGCTCTTTAGCTGTCACATACCCTCCCCCAGCCAGCACTGCTGCCACACAGCCACCTTTCAGAGCACTGTGGTCAGCTGGCAGAGTTGGATGTGAAGCCACCTGGGTTGTTTTATTTTGTCTAATCTCAGTTTTCCTTGCTTTCAGATGCAGTTTATTCAAGGCACTAATAATGTTACAGACAACTGCTTTTGTGACCACGTTTGTTAACTAGGGGTTTTGTTTGGGTTTTTTTTTTATGTATGTATTTCATGCACTAGAAAGGTACCAGACCTTTCTATTGACACTGTGTATAATTTATTGGTCTGGTGATTTTTTAAAAAAGATATATAATTTAAATGTAATAGATATTAATGTATATAATTGTATTTTGGCATTATGTAAATATGTATTTTTTCTGTACTGTTTATATTAATGTTATGCTTCAGATAATACTATTATTTTCTTATCACAGTTTTTATGAACTGTTCTACATAAACTATTTTAAATTGTATGGCTAACAGGACTGCTGCATTTGGGGCAGATTATGTATTGGCATGTAACACACCGAAAAATCCTGCAAGGAGAACCTCTTTTTTTTTTTTTTTAACTAGTTCAGTGTTTGCGAGATGAAATAAGCTACTATTAAGCAAGGGAATGGTAGTCCTGTATAGGAATTACAATGCTACTCTACACTTTAAACTTACTGCTTGTCATCTGACAAAAATGAGTATAACCCGTAACGCAATGACATACCTTTTACAGAACTCATTAACAGCCAAACAAAACAGGATCCACCTCACTAGAAGCAACTATTTCAGTCTAATGTGACATAGTAGAAAAATATCAAACAACACACGCTGCAGTGAAGTCTAGCAGACCTTTCCCCCCTGCCCAACGTGCTTTGAGGGGAGATAGGTCACATTCTGGTTTCTTTTCACTGGTTTAAGGGAGCAGAATCAGACCACAGCCTGTGTCTGTGCATTTTTACTTGCATACTGTTGTAATGAGAAAGGTGTTCAAGGAAACACCTCAGACATTCATGTTAACAAATCTGTAAGGATGTGAAGTTTGTCAACTTCTCTAGCTCATTAAATACAACACTGTACCATGACAGCTTAAAAAGTAGAGAGATTATAAACGTTTTGAAATAAAGAGATAAAGGTATATATCCCACTGTTTACACAACTGGCTTCGGCCTTAAGCTGCTTGCAGCATAGCTGCCTTGGCCCAAGTAGGTCTCCTTCAAATGCCACTTGCTTTCACAAAGGGAAAAGCGTGGCCCCAGCATCTCCACATAGAAAGACTCCTCCACTTGGATGGAGGCTCATCGGTAAACCAGGGGATGTAGGCTGGCAGGGCTGCGCTAATCATTGGCTGACTCAAAGCATTTAGTGATTAGCAAGAAGTGCAATCGAAGAGCACTCCCCAAGTATCCTGCCCAGCCAAGCGGATTAGGCACATCCTCTCTCCTCAGTAAAGAGGCTTCTCGTTCAAGGGACTGATTTGAACACTCTGTTCATCTGTGCTTTGCCTTTATAAAATGCTCTTCAAACAAATAGAGAAGAGGCAGCACACAGTTCTCCATCACAAAAAGAAGGAAGGGCTTGATAGTTCTCCTTTTATAACCCACATTTTAGCTAGAGAAAACATAGCCTGCTACTGAAGACAAGTGCCTAAATTCCACTTTTATTTTGGAGAGGAATAAATATTTCTGAAGGCCTCCAGAAAACCAGCCAATACACCTAAGTGCCTAACTGAGGAACTGCTGTGGCCCTGAGCCAAGACTACTGTGATTTCACCATGATTTATTGGAGCCACACTCTCCTTGCAGTAGGAACACCTGCCTGACGATGGCTTAAGAAGCTTGCAAGGCAGCTCTGACATAGTTTTCTTAAATCATTCCAAAGCAGAACCAGCAGGACTATGCACAGCTGTGTCACTCTGGTTTTCCTAGAGAGTAGGAAGCAGCTTGATAGTCCTTCTTCCTTCTTACTCCATCTGGAGTCTCACCCTGTCTTGACCAAATATCCTCGGATGCCTCAGAAGCCACCCTTCATATCAGCTTTCACAGCTGCTCAGAACATGTAAGCTTGGCTAACTTTTTAGGTGTCTGCATGAAAATACTGCGCATTCCTCTTGCACATCCTCTTTTGCCCCACACAAACGTCAAGATTCACCATCCTTAGTGGGATCTGAAGAAGAAAGGAAGAGCTGTTTTCACAGAGGGAAATCTAAGCAAAGCCACAAAGAAATGTGCAAATTTTCTGCAGGCCCCTTTTTTCTCCGTTTCCTTTGCTAGATAGACTGTAGGTTAGCAAGCAAGGACAAACAAGCATGGCAGCTTTTTAGATCAATCATTGACCTTGCTAATAACGGCTGAACTTAGGGCATCATGGAAATTGCCGTTGCATTACGTGCTCTGCATTTAGCCTTTTCTTTTTGCAGCGGTAGCTGAGGAACGAAGATCGCCACGTTAGTTACCAGCAGTACAATTACGCTGTGAAGACGTACCAAATGTACCCTATAAATTATCTCACACTACATATCACTGTGTCATTTTTTATGCTGAGGGAAATGGAACTCACTCAATAATATATGATCTGAGGGCAAACATCTGATTGTATACTATGTATGCATGTTGTTCATCGTTTTCAGAAAGACACACATCTTTCTGCTCTTTAACATTATTTGTCAGCTCTTTCCTCAGCACCTACAGAGTTCACCAATCTGCACCCAAAATGACGATGTCATAGCAGACAGCTATTTACATCTTTTCTCTCAGCTAATAATTGACACAGTTCATAAGCCTCTTCCCCCTCATCACTTAATAACATGACAGATGACCTTAAACACTCTGGCACAATGTTCTTGAGCAGCTTTACATCTCTGCCTAGCCAGGTCACGCGTGAGACTGTACACACACATTATTGCTCTGGTTCTGCTTTCTAGCCAATTCTGGTCATATGAAACCAGTGTAAATCCACCAAGAATAAGTAAAAAGTATCTATGTAGCATTTTGTTAATAAGACACTTACTTCTCAGTACAATTAATTATATTTACTGTGCCTCTAAGCTGAATAACAGGACCAATGGGAAGTTGTTAATGTAACGAGAATGGACTTGTACCGAGCAAAGACAGCTCTTAAGGAAAAAGACGTCCTTCGCTGAAGAGGATGTTTCTCTTTTGAATGTCCACAAATGGTGTTCAGAATTCCCTTCTTGACATTTCCCAATAATAATGTTATAAAGCAAGGCTAGTGTTGTCGCTGATCCATAAGCTAAGATTTGCACACTTGGAGCCCAGTCCTGTGAATCTCTGCATTGTCCACAAAGCTACCTGAGTACTTCCATGAAAGTCAACTGGAATGCTTGCCTCAAGAATGCCATTCTGCTTCTGAAGCACTTGCAGGGTTGGGCTTTTAGGTTAATTCAAAATTTTGTATTGAAAGTTATTTAATAATGAAAAAATTGTAATAAATGTTTTTTTTTAATCTGTGCAATACAATTACAAGATCCACTACCGATTGTAGGAAAAAAAAAAAAAGATTTTGCATAGCTGGAGTTGATAAATGATATTTTTTGTTACTAGTGGAACATAAAAGTGGGTGAGAGAAATAGACATACTGTGAAGATGTCATAAAAGTGCAACTTTATACATTTTTCTCTGCTGCTATAGTTATTTATACAGCTTATATACGTGCCTAAAATTGCCAAAAATATTATTTTATGCCATGATATGCTATGAATTTCCTTTCAGTTGTAGAACAGAGAAAAGAAAATGTGTGAGCTTTAAGTTTATATTATGTATCGTATACAATTATTTACACTTTGACTTTGAAAGCAAAAAGTTAAATACTAGACAGATAGGAGTATATGAGCGCTTAGCCGTGCTCCTCAGCCTGGGAGTTAATATATGGGGCAGAGGGATGAGAAAAATAACCATCTAATCACTATATTAGCATCTCCTCCCGGGGCCACAGATCGGAGAAGTGCATCTGACGTTCAGAGATACAGCCTGCTGCAGCAGCGGCTTCACTACCAAGGAGTGGCATGGCAGGTGCTTACATTTGTTCAGACTTCTTTCAGTACTTCAGACATGCAGTTTGTGTGAATAAAATGCAATATAGAACAACCACTACTCCCCTGACGGCCCTGTCACAGATGTTTCAGCTCCGGAGCCGTGAGCTCTGGGACCTGTAGTCCCAGGAGGCTGCAACTTTGAATAGAAGACGAGCGTGCAGCTCAGTACTTGGGCAGCTCACTGTGGACCCTGTGCCCTCTGCTGTCCCTCAGGCTGACAAAGTCAAACTCCTGACCTGTTGGTAACACCACCATGGCCAAAGCAAACTGATCTGATACCGGTGACCTCGCAGAGCAACAGCTAGTTCAGACTCAGATTTGGTTTTTAAGACTGGCAGGAAATACTGGAGACTAGGGACTAGCTAAATTTAGCAGCTACTGTGGAATTTCGGCACACACAGTTTCAGTGATGCTGGTAGATTGATATGTGTGATGATTTCGTTGGTTTTGGGTTATTTAAAAGCTATAGAAATACTGTAAGTAACGTTAAGTAGCTAAATATATATTGCTCTACAGCAGGGCGGTATCTTATAGTGAAAAACCCCACGACTTTTAAATGTGGCTAGCCATAAGTACTTTGCCAGTGCCTGGAGTAAAGTGGCTGAAAAACATCTTCAGCACATATTCCATTCTCATATGCTATATAATTACTTATATTTGTGTTCCTAACAAACACTGGGTGAACACAGAATTGTGCCACTATTGTCAATTTAATTTATGCATTTCTTAAGTATATTTTTATATTTTTAGCTACAGTCAACAAATCAAATATATTTGAGTGTATTTTACACATTTTTATAAATAGTTCATGAATAAAACATTCATTTTAAAAAAAATTGCATCTTCATCTTCTGTTTAACTGCCTTTGCATTATGGATTTTGTTGTCCTGCTGCTCAGAGAAAAGGTCATATAAGTGAGTTTGATTTCAAGTGAGACAGTCTTCAGAGAACATTAAATTCATCAGCAGCCTCAGCCTGTTGGGAAAGGGGGCTCTGCTGTTGCCTGCTGGCCGGATTAGTGCCCGTGCAGAAAGATAACGTCATTCCCTTCGGCTCCCCGGTTCTCTGCCCTCCTCCTTTAATAAACCAAATACTGTCTGGGTTACATAATGGGTATTTGAAACAACAGTGCATCCTCAACTCAAGTGCCTGTTAT